AGAAGAATGAAACTGGACCATTTCCTTACACCACACACAAAAATAGACTCCAAATGGTTGAAAGACCTAAACGTGAGACAGGGTCCATCAAAATCCTAAAGGAGAACACAGGCAGAAACCTCCTCAAACTCAGCCGCAGGAACTTCTTCCTAGAAACATCGCCAAAGGCAAGGGAAGCAAGGACAAAAATGAACTATTGGGATTTCATCAAGATAAAAAGCTTTTGCACAGCAAAGAAAACAGTCCACAAAACCAAAAGACAACGGACAGAATGGGAGAAAAATATTTGCAAATGACATATCAGATAAAGGGCTAGTATCCAAAATCTATAAAGAACTTATCAAACTCAATACCCAAAGAACAAATAATCCAATCAAGAAACGGGCAGAAGACATGAACAGACATTTTTCCAAAGAAGACATCCAAATGGCCAACAGACACATGAAAAAGTGCTCAACATCGCTCGGCATCAGGGAAATCCAAATCAAAACCTCAATGAGATACCACCTCACACCCATCAGAATGGCTAAAATTAACAATCAGGAAACGACAGATGTTGGCAAGGATGCGGAGAAAGGGGAACCCTCCTACACTGTTGGTGGGAATGCAAGCTGGTGCAGCCATTCTGGAAAACAGTATGGAGGTTCCTCAAACAGTTGAAAATAGAGCTACCATACGATCCAGCAATTGCACTACTGGGTATTTACCCCAAAGATACAAATGTAGGGATCCGAAGGGGTACGTGCACCCCAATGTTTATAACAGCAATGTCCACAATAGCCAAACTGTGGAAAGAGCCAAGATGTCCATCGACAGATGAATGGATAAAGAAGAGGTGGTATATATACACAATGGAATATTATGCAGCCATCAAAAGGAATGAGATCTTGCCATTTGCAATGACGTGGATGGAACTGGAGGGGTGTTATGCTGAGTGAAATAAGTCAATCAGAGAAAGACATGTATCATATGACCTCACTGATATGAGGAATTCTTAATCTCAGGAAACAAACAGAGGGTTGCTGGAGTGGTGGGGGGTGGGAGGGATTGGGTGGCTGGGTGATAGACATTGGGAAGGGTATGTGCTATGGTGAGCGCTGTGAATTGTGCAAGACTGTTGAATCACAGATCTGTACCCCTGAAACAAATAACGCAATATATGTTAAGAAAAAAAAAAGAAGAAGATAGCAGGAGGGGAAGAATGAAGGGGAATAAATCGGAGGGGGAGATGAACCATGAGAGACGATGGACTCTGAAAAACAAACTGAGGGTTCTAGAGGGGAGGGGGGTGGGGGAATGGGTTAGCCTGGTGATGGGTATTAAAGAGGGCATGTGTTGCATGGAGCACTGGGTATTATGGCCAAACAATGAATTATGGAACACTACATCACAAACTAAAAAAAAAAAAAAATGACACAGTGTCCTTGTGTCTCCAACTACAGTCTTTAGTTTAAAATCTAATTTGTCTGATATAAGAATTGCTACCCCAGCTTTCTTTTGATGTCCGCTGGCATGGAAGATGGATCTCCATCCCTTCACTTTTAGTCTGGATGCACCTTTAGGTTCAAAATTAGTCTTGTAGACAGCATATGGATGGGTCCTGTCTTTTTATCCAGTCTGCAACCCTGTGCTGTTTTATGGGAGGATTTAGGCCATTCTCATTGAGAGTGATTATTGAAAGATATGAATTTATTGTCATCATGTTGCCTGTGAAGACCCTGTTTTTATAGATTGTCCCTGTAAATTGTGAAGCTATCGTCTTCACAATTGCTAGCCTGAATTCCATCTCCGACATCTTGTTTATATCTGAATTCATTTGTAAATCTGCAGCATAAGTCATAGTCTCTGAGTCTTTCCTATATCGGGGGTTCCTCCTCCTAGTCATTCTGTTGAGAGGTGGTTGAAGGAATGTATAGAGTCCAAATTATTGACCACAACCCAAGCAAGATGCACCTGTTTTATAGGGACCTTAGCGTTGCTGGCCTCTTGTTTTCCCAGCCTGTCTTCTGGGGGAGGGGCCTGCCACGCTGTTACTCCAGCAACCATTTGGGGGGAGTTGCCCTGCCCCCTGTGGCAGGGGATGGGCTCAGTGGAAACCGGTTTTGGTGGGCTTTTGTCCCCTGGTGGCTTTCCCTGGTGGCTTTCCATGTCTCTTCTGAGAGTCAGAGCAGAAGAGACCATTTCCAGGGTGCCTGGGCGGCTCAGTCGTTGAGTGTATGCCTTCTGCTCAGGTCATTATCCCAGGGGCCTGGGATCGAGTCCCACATTGGGCTCTTTGCTCAGCGGGAAGCCTGCTTCTCCCTCTCCCACTCCCCCTCTCTTGCTGTCTCTCTCTGTCAAATAAATAAATAAATAAGTAATTTTAAAAAAGAGAGACCATTTCCAACCCTCTGCCTCAGAGCACAGAGATGGCAGTCTCTTCTTCAGTGAGCTCTCCAGGCAACACTATCTCCATTTCTATCTGTGCTCCTATAAACTGTAGTCCTGGGTTGTGCGCCCCTCAGCCTCCCTCCCAGTCCTCGCCAGCAGGTCGGAGCCTGTCTCTGCCCTTTGGGCTTCTAAAACAGCCAGCTGCCACCACATTGCACACATGGCCCTGCCACTCCAGTTTCAGTCTGGGGCGCTGCCCTAAAGTCCTTTCCCTCCGCTACCAGTCTGCGAGTCTGTGCCCAGTCCCCAGCGTGGGAGGCTATCGCTCACCGGTGGTGCAGGATCCTGACGGCTCCCTCCCCCTTCCGTTTATCCTCCGATATCTGCCTGTGGACTCACAGCTCCCCACTTCATACCTGGAAACCAACCACCTGCGATATTCTGTCTGTAGAGATCCAGATCTATCTTCTTACATCTCAGGCTGATTTCATGGGTGTTCAGAGTGGTCTTGTAGATACCCAGCTCATTTCCAGGGACTGGTTGGAATAGGGTCCCCTACTCCTCCGCCATCTTTTCCCTCTCCCACAGAGGCACATTTGTAAAATTAGGCCCAGTTAATGTTGCAGTATAAAGGGCTCTTCCCCCTTCCCTCCTTCCCTCCTTCCTTCCTTCCTTCCTTCCTTCCTTCCTTCCTTCCTTCCTCCCTCTCTGCTTTCCTTCCCTCCCTCCTTCCTTCCTTCCTTCCTCCCTCCCTCCCTTCCTTCTTTCCTTCCTTCCTGTCTCCCCCCTTCCTTCCCTCCTTCTTCTCTCCCTGACTTCTCTCCCTCCCTCCTTCCTTCCTCCCTCCCTCCTTCCTTCCTCCCTCCCTTCCTTCCTTCCATCACGGTGTTCTATGCACATGTGCTAACAATTACACAGTGCTAACAGGCTTACTGTCATGCAGGCTTCCTTCTCCAACTTCACCCACTACCTTGGTTCTATACCCACAAAATATTTACCTGATTCTTTTGGGATTGCTCTCCAGTTTTTGTTTATTTTGTTTTCTACTAAATAAATCTTACTAAGATTTCTTGCATGGACCATGCAACCAAATTTCCTAATTTCAAATACCGGTTCCTCAGGACTGTGTGATCTTGGGCATATTACTCAACTGCTTTGTGCCTTAATTCCCCTGTCCACAATATGGGTATAATAATAGAATATATTTGTATCTAATACATCTGTGAGTGTGTGTATATGCATGTATACACACTATTATTTATATAAACACATCTACACAGACATATATATACATATATGTGGTTTGAGGACCATGGTGGACGTTAAAGGAGCTGATGGTGTCAGTTACTTAGTGCTGGACACTAGGAAGTCTATATAAATGTTAGCCTTATCATAATTGTCGTCATCATTGTTGTGATCAAATATTTGCTTTTTCCTGAAGTGAGAGTACTGGCCCAGAGAAATTTAAACACATTGAGAAATAGCTTTCAGATGTCAGCATGAGGCCTGGCCTTTCTCCCAGGCTGGTGGCCAAGTCCCAGGCATGAGTCCCTGGAGGAAACAGGACACAAGTGCATGGCACTTCCCTCACCCTGGCTCAGAAAGGTTTAGTGTCACTCGCACCATACTCCATTGGTCAAGAAAGTCACAACCCGCCCAGGTTTGGAAGGATGATACGGAAGCTCCTCCTTGGGACATGGGACAGTCAAGATTCCAGAAGGGCTTGAGGAATGGGAGATATTTTGTAGACATCTTTCAAAAATACAATTAACCACGATCCCCTTCTTTGCCAGCACCTCACTCCTACATTGGTTGGCATCCTCTTCCCCCAAACACATCACCTGCAAGGTTTCTCTGGGGTGAGTCCGCTCACTTCTGGGGGGTAGCCATCCCCGCCTAGCCCACTACAGGCCAAATTAATGCTCTGCAAACATCCCCCCAACCCCACTCTGCCTGCTCTCTAGTTTCTAAAAAAACTGTGCTGAAATTTTCCATTAGCTCTTATTATCCTTCCCATTTTCTATGCCCTTGTAGATCACAACATTTGCATGCCTTTCTCGTGCTTGAGGAAGAAGAAATAAGCTCATTTATTCAAATCGTGTTGCAGTTGAAGCACCCACAAATTTCCCTCCTATGTGAACTTGCCCTTCCCTTCACTCTGTCAGGAGCGAGCCCCCTTCCCTTATGATCAACGTGCAGAAATCGTCTTCATGTTTCAAAGCCATTTCTTGGCTGATCTCCCAAAATAGATGAAGTATCCATCACTGAAAGCACTATTAGACTCCTAGAGGTATCCCTTGTTATTTGCCCTGATAGTGCAGTGTGTGTGGTTTCTCCATCCTGTCACTGGTTATAAATCCTGAGGGGTGAACTCTGTCCAGTTTTGCACCTTAATAGACATTAAGTGAAAATTCTATGTTTAAAAGTACAGCCATGCTGGCAACAAAGAAATGTCTCTAGTGCTAAAAAGAGTGCTCTGTAATCTTCAGATTACACCACACTGGGCAACTTCTATAGGAAGACTCTAGTCAGCTATCCACCAAGGCAAGGCTGTCACAGGGGCCCCATCCATGCGACCCTCAGGTCTAGGGTTCCCTGAAGTTCTTTTGCTGTAGGTGGGATGAGGGGACATGCGTAAGGCTGAGAACCCAGCCCTGGGTTCTCTAAGCCCTGAGAACTCTGGCTTTCCCCCTCTAGAAGTCAGATGCTGCTGCTTCCTGGGGTCTTCCTGCCCCTTCAGGCACTTCCAGGAAGAAGAAAGTCTAGCCTTGATGTTCCAAGACCACAGAGCTCTCTATCTGCCCAACCCAGAGGAATTATGACATCAGCAGTTTATCAGACCATTATAACAGGATCAAGGCAATATGCTGACACCAAGGCCAATCTCATAATTTCCCATTGCTCTGTATCTCCCCAGGGACCTGGTTGGCCCTGAGGCTGGTGAACGGCACAGGGAGTTGCTCAGGCCGAGTGGAGGTTCTCATCCAGGGCAGGTGGGGGACCGTGTGTGATGACCTCTGGGACCTGGCTGAGGCCACAGTGGTGTGCCGCCAGCTGCGGTGTGGCCAGGCCATGGCGGCCCCCACAGGGGCCCACTTCGGGGCAGGCTCCGGGAAGATTCTGTTGGATGATGTGCAGTGTGTGGGCAGTGAGAGCCACCTGGGGCAATGCATGCACAGAGCTGAGGCCGGGCACAACTGCAGGCGCCTGGAGGATGTCGGCATCATCTGCGCAGGTGAGGGGCTGGCTGGCAGTCCTCATTTGGAGGGCTACTCCTATCCCCTCGCTTCTCATTCCTCCACACACACAATGTAGCACAGCCTAGAAATGTTAGTGGATCGAGACAGGCAACTGGTGTTATCTACATCCTTTCAAAGTTATGCATCAGCCTGACCATCCCCTTGACTGCAAAGGTTGTTGAGTATGCCTCATGATCACTGATCCAGGCTCAGAAGTGGCTTGTTTGGTTTGAAAATTCAGACTGAACTTGAATTCAACCAAATCAGAGTATCTGGCATAAAAATCCAAATTCTTGCATTTGTGAAAAAAATAAAAACAGAAGTTCAGGCCCAAAACAACAAATTATTTTATTATATTAACTGGCTGGATCTGAGAAAGAGCTGACCCTTTGGTCGGGAAACAGCTTTCTAGTTCACAAAGTCCCCATCACTCAAATCCCTTATTTGTTTTATTCCCATGGCCCTCAGAAACTTTAGAGTTTGAGTGTATAACCTCTGGGTGATGGGCCAAATTTGTCAGCTGTTGTTCCAGGCCCTCCACATCTAGACCAAGTGACCTTCCCAAACCTATGTGTCCTTCTGGTTGACTCTCTGTCGCAACAGAATCTTTCCTGATTCCATCCCACTGGCAGCTGGAGTAATGTCCCTACAAATGACAAGCTCTGCCAGGCTGCACCTGGCCCTTCCTGAGCCTCTCAACACCTAAGATGCCGGAGACAGGAGGGAGGCACTGCCTTCTGAAGCTCTCCTGCGACACTCAGCATTTGCTGCCTGATCTCATGTCTCAAATCCCCAGGAAATGCTAAGACCCTCAAGAGCAGGGTCCCTGCCTCTCTCTGCTTCCCACAGCTCCCTAAATCTAGGACGTTCCCAATAAACAGTCACTGAATAAGACATGATAACATGCACAATCTCTCTTCATGTTTACAGGTGCTGATTCCACAGCTGCTCAGCCTACAGGTAGAACCTGTGTTACATTTGGCATCATCTACTAGACCTAGCATGATGTAAGAAAGATCATGAGGTTTAAAGTCAGATCCTGGTTTGATTCCCAGCTTCATTTATTCCCTCAACTGTTCATTCAGTGGATACTGAAAGAACTGTGTGCTACTCTGTGCCAATAAGCAGTGGGGCCACAGCAGTGATCAAACCACCACCCCCCCAGCTCCCTTCTGTCACTGGGTCTGCACCCTAATGGGAGGGACAGACACGGCATAGGAGCACCCTCAGTTATGTTACCTCAGCCAAGTTGTATCATCTCTTGATCCCCTTTCAACTGGATTTCTTTTTGCAAGAGTAGGAAAAACATAGAGAATTGAATGATTGAGAATTGAATATGACAATGCCCAAAGACACCTAGCACCTGACAAGCACTCACATAGTTCCTCCTTTTGGTCTAATGCTGACTAAAGGAGGTTGTGTGGGGAGTGCAAAGGGCCCTGAGCCGAAGGAATCTGATCCTGGCTGGTCTCTCTCCAGATGAACGACCTTGGCCATCACTCTCCATGTCATTAGAATAGGCACAGGGGATTCCCGGCTCCCTAAAATTCTATGCCTTTGACATTCAGTGACTACACAGAGAGGATAAGCAGCCATGTGGACTGGTTGAATGCAGTGTATGCCACCGTGGAAAGCAAGAGGTTGTCGTTGAAGGACAGAGATGTAGGTCTTGTACTAGAAATTGAGGAACACTTTCCCACCTAACGTTTTATTATGAGAATTTTCAAGTAGGCAGCAGTTTGAAGGATTTAACAATGAGCTCCTACCTACCTAGATCCCATGATAAATTTAGCAATCCCTCTATCATCTCTTTACTCATCCATCAACCCATCATATTTTTATTAATGTTTGATTTGTGTCCCATAAGACTCACCCATTTTCAGGTCCATTTTGATGGATTTTGGTAATTGTGTGCCACTGTATAATCACCACCGCAGTGAAAATATAACACAGTTCCCTTGCCCTGAAAGGTTTCCTCGCACATTTCAGGGTTAATGCTCTCCTCCTTCCCCTCACTCCACTTCCAGGAACTGCTGTGTGAATTTCCTTGCTTTGTTCAGGTGAAGTCATGACACACCTTGGGGAAAAGGCAGCAAAGAAAGAGATGATGGCTAACTGATGGCCTCTCCTATGGCAGGCCACATGGGGCAAATTGTCCATGAGCTTTGCTTTTCTGATGGCCATGTGGTGCATGTTCCTTTGTCAATGGGACCATGTTCTGTCCTAAATGAAGATCTTGGGGCTATGAGGTCACTGGCCTTAGAATGCAGTGTCATGGTTATCCCTCGTGAATCCTGGGAGGAGGCAGATGACCCCTTGAAGCAACTGTTATCTTCTCCCAATGTTCTGACTTCTCCTTGATGACCTTCCTTTTTACCCACCAACAGCCTATGAGAACCTGCTTCCCACATCATTGGTGATAGCAGCAGCTCAACACCCACCTTCTTCTGCACCTCCAGGTAAGGTTATTTCTTTTTATATTATGTCTTCTAGACAATTTTTCTTATCCAACAATGGATGAGTGAATATGTGTCACTAAGAATATATAATGTCACTGGGATTATATACAGCAATAAACAGAGCTGACACTCAAGTAAACTAAGTTCATGGGGGAAGGGGGGGAGTAACCTGTTACCAAAAAAGTGTGCTGAATACTCTGATGGGGGAGCACAGGGTGCCATGGGTAACCAGAAGAGGCTCTCCATCCAGAGCCGAGGGGTTTGGGCAGGACCTGAAGGGTGAGGGGGCAATGGGATTGTGCCAGGCAGGGAAGAAACCAGACTGACTCCCTGTGGGCTGCAGGGTGGGAGACATTAACATGTGTTCCAAATTCGAATATAGGGCTGGCCAATAACCATACAGAATTAGTGAACAGCGCAGTGGCTCTTTGAGATGATTTTCCACTGTGATCAGGGATGAGTAATATTTCAGGATATTTGGCCTTGAATTAAGTTTTGTTTTTTCTTTTATAAATGACCTAGGTCTAGTCTGAGATCAGATGAGGCAGGAATAAAACATTGGACCCCTTAGTCTCTTAATCTAGCTGTACAGTCCAAAGATTCAGGGAGGAGAGAATGGAGACATTATCACTCCCAGGGGTCTGAGCATCCCTGATAGAATAGTGCCCCGCAGGTGCCATAGCTCCTAGCCATTGGCCAAGGTTTTGGGGGTGTGGCAGTTACCAAAGGCACCGTTGTTGGCTCTGTGAGTTTCAATCACCTGAATTCACACTCCACATCTTCTTCTTTATGTTTTTATGTTAATATTGTTTACATATCTGTCCAAGCTCTCTTCTTTGCATACAATTTTTTATTGAGGTATAATTGACATATAACATTAATATTAGTTTCAGGACTACAACATAAGGATTCCACATTTGTACATATTGCAAAATGATTACCACAAAAGGTAACTTACCTAAGAAGGGAGTATGGATAAACAAGCCTATAAATTATCTCTTGCCATGTAAAACCATCCCAAAACACAGTGGCTTGAAATGACTACCATCTATCACTGCTCATGAGTCTGAGGGTCAGCTGGGTAGTTCTGCCACTCTGGGATAGGCTTGGCTGGTCGTGGCTGACTCAGTGGGGCTTGCTCATGCATCTGTGGCTAGCTGACAGGTCAGCTGAGGACTGCTGGCCTAGGATGGCCTCCCTCACACGTCTTACGGTTCCATAGGTGTTATCTGAGGGGACAGAGGTGATGAGGTCATGCACCCTTTGTCACCCATGGGCTAGCTCAAGCTTATTCACATGATCCCCTCAGTGTTTCCATGGAATGAACTGAAGCCCACCTGTCATGTCTCTTGAGGCCTCAGCTCCACATGAGTGCACTATTACTTCTGCCACATTCTACTGGCCAGAGCAAGTCACAGGCCGCAGCTTAAAATCAAGGAGTAGGAAAATAAGCTAACCTCTTGATAGGTAGAGCAGCAATGTCACATTGTAAAGAGTGAGGATATCAGGAAGAGAAGCATGGTGATCATTTTTGTAAACACTCTACCACAGGCAAGCATTCTTAAATGAGTGTGGATAAGGAAGACATTACAGTCCTCTTAAAGCAGACTTATCTAGAGAATAGCATGGGAGCTCACATGACCTCGTGAAGAGTGTGAATAGCAAAGTCATGGAAAATAAGAAAAGCTAGGTTGGGTAGCAGACAGTCCAGTCACTGAAAGGCAGAGTGAGTGACGATCACCCCGTGACCCACGGTTCTTCCCCAGGAGGCTGGGCCCCCGTGCGGCTGATAGGTGGCCATGGGAGATGCGCAGGCCGTGTGGAACTCTTCTACCAGGGAGTCTGGGGGACCGTGTGTGATGACCTCTGGGACCTGCCAGAAGCAAACATCATCTGCAGGCAGCTCGGGTGTGGCTGGGCCATTTTAGCCCCAGGTGAGGCCCACTTTGGGGAAGGCTCTGGGAAGATCCTCCTTGACAACGTGCACTGCGGGGGAGATGAACAGCACCTGGAGGAGTGCTCCCACATGGGCTGGTTTTCCCACAACTGTGGGCACGGAGAAGATGCTGGCGTGATCTGTTCAGGTAAACCCCTGCCCTCCCAGGCAAAGCCCAGCCTTGGCTCTTTCTGAGAGAATACCTTTCAAAAGACAATGTAAATCCAGCTATTGAAAAGGAACCAGTACTTTACTTGCTCACAGCAGATATTTTCATCCCTCATGCTTACAGATGCTGAATACTCAACAGTCCCAGCCCCAGGTAAGGAAAGCGATATTTACATGGGCAGTTTCCCAAAATCTTGGGGAAGAAGTTCTGCTGGAAGTTGGATGTGTCATCCTCCAGGCTGGTGGAGTAACTGGGACATGTGGTGTCACCTGACTGTCCAGTGGGAGAAATGGATAGTCCTTTAGAAATCATTTGATCCAACCTCACTTTCAACTTCTCCCTCATTTTAGACACAGGAAGCAGATTCTAAATTTCTCAGACTTGTATATAGCACTTTCAGTTTGCCAGCTCTGAGGGTTACAAGGCAACAGAAATGAGATATGGGTGGGGGGGGGTGGTTAAAACATAAGAGGTGGTTAAGGACATTTCCTGCCCAGGAGCAGATGGCTGGTGGGCTGGACCTGGCCAAAGTCGGGGTGACCATTCCCACCTTCTCCCTGCTTCTGCTTTGTTCCTGGTGCCCACAGAACTTCTTTTGCTATTGGTTTTACCATATGCTCTTAATGCCAGCACCCAGAGTTTTCTATGCCAGAGCCCGCTCTCCTTCATCAAATCCCCAGGTTCCCTGATGACCTGCCCTCAGCTGGCTCTTGGTCAGAGAGTGAGTCATGAATAAAGCTGAGTAGAAAAGGTCTGATAAAACTTCAGGCATATTCCCTCCCGGGTTGTCAACTCTAGCAGGTGGGAATGGATTGGTCCCAGGAAAGGGTCTCTAGTGGGAGGTTCTTGGCCAGGTGTCACTGGTAGGAGATATGCAGGGGGCATGAAGGAGGATCCACAGCATCCTTAGATGTTGGCTCACCATCTCTGAGCAACACCAGGTCAAAGAAAGGGGTGAATTGGTACCTCTTCCTATTCTTACCTGGAAGCCTCATAACTCCCAGGCCTTGGGTCACTAGAATTGGCTACAGTTGGCAGAATTTCATGTCTTTAGTGTTCTTAAACCCCCAATTTTAAAATATCTCATTTGTGTGTATGACAAAAGGACAATTTATCAAAATCTGGAGAGGATCTAGATGAGTGCTTCTTCCATCCCACACATTAACGTCCCCTACATGTTCTGGCCTTGCCCCCAGAGATGACTCAACAGTTCTGGGGGGGGGGGGTGGCCCACTGTATTTGATATGAGCTCCTCAGGGTATCATGTGCAGCTAGTGTTGAGCCAGCTGATGAGCCACATGTCCTTTGTGGGTTTGACAGATCGCCCACTGGCTGTCATAGCAGGAACAATGGCCACAGGTGAGACTTTGGTGTCCTTGGCTGCTCTGACCACCATCTTCTAGCTCAAGCCCTGAAGTGATTCTCCAGGGAAGTTGAGCAAAATACTGCTGCCCTGGCTGGGTCACCCCTCTGAACCTGTGTTCTGAGTGAAGAGTCCAATAATGAAGGCAGATGAATTTATGGTTCCAATTCCATTTCTATGTAGCCAAAAAAGGCAGTCCAAATAATCAAGTGACACCAGCGTGCTTCGTCTCCAGCATGGACACTACATGTGAAGGACAGGCATATGGCTCTTAACATGGCAGTGTTGCCAGGGCACTACCCAAGAACATCATTTCAGAGGGCTGCCGCCATAACGACCATGTTCTTCTTCTCCACTCTTTTCCCTTCTCTGACAATCTCTATCTTCCTTATTCATCCTTTCTTTGCATCTTCCATTTTCCCCCCTCTGTTTTTGTCTGTATCTTGGGCTTCCAGAAGCTCCACTAAACTTTTCTTAGCACCACTTGGAGATAAAGGACTGAAATAATACTGATGCGTGGAGAGCCTGGCTGTTCCTTCTACAGAAGAGCCACAGATAGATGACCAGAGCCAATCGAGTGTAGGTCCAATTCTCATATAGCCAGACAGTCTGATGGAGAAAGCCATTGCCACAGGTGTTACCTTTAATTTTGTACTGAATATTGGGCATATGGATACACAGACAAGCAGATGGAAAAACAAATGGACAAGTGATGAACAGGCAGACACAGAATGATGTCAGTGTTGGAGGGGTAGATGACTCAGGGCAAGTTCTCTCCATTTAGTGGTGGATTTTTAATAGTGTAATTTTAATAAATTATAACAGATGGCAGATGGAATGCTGACATCTTCATATACATAGAGGTTCCATGTAGACTCAGCTTTACTTGGGAAAACGAAGCCATTTACTCATTACTACTGGTGGCCTCACAAAAGTCAAACCTACAGAACCCACCACTAGTGAGTAACAACCAGAGGGAAAGATTCTGGTTGATACTGGTTAACTGCTCTGCCCAGCAAGGCCAGGTCAGTGGTAGAATTCTCTAAACAAGTGAGAGGTGTTTCAAAATTCAGACACTTTCATGCCCTAACCTAAATTTGTGAGTTTTTAGACTGGTGTATGCCTCTGATATGTCCTAAGACACACCCACAAGGTAATGACCAATGAGACCTTTTCGGTGGGAAAAAAAAAATGAAAGGAAAAGGAAGTGTGAATTATAAAATTAGTGTACTGAACAATGAAAAAAACTGAAATTCTAAAATATTTTTCTTCTTTTAGAAAAATCTAGGTGTGGCAGAATAATTACCAGCTCATCTGGAGCGATTAGGAATCCCCCACAGAACAAAATGCATGACAACATAACCTGTGTGTGGGAAATCAAGGCTAATGCATCTGATCACATACTGCTGGCATTTCCATATCTTAAGTAAGTCACGAGTACATGATTTAAGTACTCTGTGTAGTTTAAAGTTCGAAGCATTTTTCTGTGCCATGAGTCCTTCACGCCCTTTTTAATTTTGAATTTTGAAATAATCGTAGACACACAGGAAGTTACAAAAATAATACATAAGAGTCCGATGTACCCTTCACCCAGCTCCCCCCAGTGGTGGCATCATCTATAACTATAGGACAATATCAAACCAGGAAGTAATGCAATACTGCGCTAGGTCATAGACCTTATTCTGTTTTCACTACTTTCCACATCCACTTGTGTGTGTGTGTGTGTGTGAGAGAGAGAGAGAGAGAGAGAGAGAGAGAGAATGAGAATGTATGTTTCAGTCTCTGGTTAAAGATGCAGATTTCAGGGAACCCCCAGACCTCACAAATCAAGAAATTTTAGGTTTTAATATTGTAAAGAGTCAAGGTTGATATCATTCACAAATGAATGTCTTATGGAAATTAACTCCCAGGAGCAACCTGAATTATTTATTACGTTTGAATTTTGCTTTATCAAAAGATGACTTAGAATGGATGGCTCATCAGGCTGAGGCGTGGAGATGGTGTCCTGACTCTAACCCTAGGGGCGTCCGGACAAAACTTCCACAATGAAGAACAAGAGCTGACAGATCACATGACTTGCATAAAGCAAGCAGGGCAGACTCCGTAGCGCACTTCCCTCTAGGCAGGTCGCCTGCAGAGTTTGTAAATGGGTTGTTTGGAGCCTGAAGCCGTGTCTTAGAGGCAGGGCATTGCTGGCCATTGGCCCTGAGCTTCCAGCTACCTGCAGTCCCAGACCTCAGCAGGGGTCCACCTAGTGCTTCAGCCGCCTCTTCCCTCTTCCAGTTAAGATCCCATCCCCTCAAGAAAAAGTGGGATTAAAGGATTCTATACTATGTTTAAATGGCGGACAGGCTTTTAATCTGTCCCCAGTTTTATTGTCATGAAAGAAAGGGTCTGCCCCACAGCATACCTCTAAGATCTGCTAATGGGGAGGCTAAGAGGCAGCCATTGGTCTTTGCTTCCCCAGCCTAGATTGCACCAATGAATACTTTGAAATCCTGGACGGCCCTCCATCCTCAACAAAGTCCCTGGGGAAGACCTGCTCTGGGTCCTACCTCACCTACTCGTCCTGCTCCAGCTCAATGACCCTGGTGTACTTCCGAAGCTTCAACAACATAGGGAAAAACTTCGTTGCTTATTATTATTCTGCAGCCAAAGGTATGAATGGTGGTTAAAAGCAGGAGCTGTGGAACTGCAGCTGGAGTGCCTGCCTTGGGGCCAGTTAGAACCCCATCGCTTACTCTGTGACCCTGGACAAGAGACCCGACCTCTCTGTGCCTCAAGCCATTCCCTGTATAATGGGGATAAGAGAAGCTTCCCTCCTAGGCTTGTCGTGGGGCTTACCTGAAATGACACAAGCCCTTGCACAGTGATGGTATATCATGTGATCAGATTGGCAGATTCAACCCTGGGCCTGGTTCCCCATAAACGCCTCATTACAGTCTGCCCGTTAGGATGCCACTTCTGGAGTTAAATGAATCTAGTACTAAGTGGGTGTTTTAGGACCTACAGAAGAAGAAGGTGTGGTCCAGCCTAAGAGGGGCTCATGTACAACCTGGAAGGAGTTCAAGACAAACCCATGTGACACAATTAGAGGACAAGTAGGATATACTAAATGAAGGCAAACAAATAGAATAGACTAGAATATACTAAATTGACACATGCATACATCTCAGCAAAAGACATTAGAAAAGGGAAAGAGCCATGCGGGCTATAAACATGAAGGAAACATAGAAGGAAACAGCCTTAGATTTGCCTTTAAGCCTGGCCAGGCTGTGAGTCAAGAAATAGGGAGGGGGCACACAGGTGAAGGAAAAGTGTGAGCACAGAGATGGGAAGTACAGGACACATGGCGAGACAAGAAGGCAGACAGAAGCTAAGCCAAGGGTTTCTGGTTAAGCATAGGTACTCAAGGTTGGGTCATCACAGCAACAGTGATCAAAATAGCAACGAACATTTACTGAATGCCTATTTTATGCGAGGCAACCCTGTAAGCACTTTACACGTGTTACCTCCTTTCATCCTCACACAAACCCACGGTTCTTCCCTTTTTATAGATGGGGAAGCTGAGGCTAGAGAGGTTCCCTAACTGTTCCAAGATCACCCAGCCATGGGTCCTGCCCTATACCACTGAGAGAAAAGACGTTGCCTCAGGGACCTCATGAGCAGTTCTAGCTTCCGCCTTGGCTGAGATGCTGTTCAGACTAGTCTCCCACCCTGTTAGCGAGCACCAGGGCAGCTCAGTGAGCACGCTTGGGAAGTATGCTGTGAAACACGGAGGAGGCGCTCTGTGTCACAAAGTGGATCAGAAAAAGTCACTGTCACTGCGATTGAACAATTACTGACGAGGCTTCTTTGTCATTGCAGAGGCGAGTTCAAGGACCCCACATCTAATCAGTGAGTCGCATTTACTGTTGCTACTTTATCTTCATTCCTCATTTGTGTGTCTTCCTCTGTCCGCCCTCCTGGTGCTTGGAGTGTCATAGTTCGATCTCTGTCTTATACATTTCCTAATTTCCTGCATCAGTCCAACTAGCTGAGAGGTCTGTCTGCCCAGGTTTTGCCCAAGCATGATGACCACTCACCGTGGAACCAAGTTACATATACCAACAAATTGATAATTGCCAATTTGATTTCTTAATTCCTTGCTTTTATCAAAAACAGTGAGACACACCTCATCAAGCGCTGCACACTTAGGGAAAGTTAACAAAACAGAAGCATGTAGAAAAAATGGCTTTTTCCCTAGAAGGGCACCATGCATATTTGCATTTTGGCACAGGATGGCACAATTTAAGTGTCATTATGTCTCCGGTGACTGGACAGAAGGGAATATTTTTTCTGTTGGATCCTACACGTCTGAGGAACAACATAAATAGAGTTTGACTTGGGAGGTCACTTATTATAAAGATGCTAGGGAGAATGAACCAACCAGAATCTTGGCATTTAAGGGATGTAGCCATCTTGATGCTTTTTATCTGAAGGGTGTGATCTTGTATTGACAGCCATCCCAACAGCAACACCCAAGACAGTGACAGCAAGACCAGGTAAGCCCTGGGATGCATTCATTCATTTACCAACTATCCTTTCCTCTTGGTTACCTGCATTTGTACCTGCTGCATGGGCAGGAACTGGACCAACTGCAAGTAGTTCATCTGTTTGCAAAATGGGCTGGTTGACTCTATGCACATTTTTAGGACCATCCAAAACTCTTGGGATCTTTTGGCTCTAGCATCCCAGGGTGAGCAAAGTTCATTTTTTCAGTGTTTTTGAGAGTCTTCAAAGCCTGAGCAGCTTCCAAGTGCCTTTAGTGGGGTTCTATCTTTTTTTTTATTTGGCCAGGCTTGCTCATAGTTAACCTATACCTGCATAACTAATAGGCTTTTTCAACATAAGTGGAGCATCAAAGCCATTCCAGAGGCAGTGAGATGGAATACCAGAGAAAAATACTGAACTTTGGAACCAGGAATACTGACTTTAGATCTGCTACTTCCCAGATGTGGGATTTGGGGTGAATCATTTCACTTCTCCAACTTTCAGTCTTCTTATGGATAAAATTAGCATACTGGTGCTCTTCTGCTTGCCTTCTGAGTTATTACAAAGGTGAAGATGAACACATACACGCACGCACACACACACACACACACACACACACACACAAAGGCATTCCACAAAGCCACAAATTACTGTGAATATTATCTACAATTTTTGTCTGCATTTAGCTAAAATAGATTGGCACATACCTCTGGCCCAATAGGTACTCGATTAATGAATGCTTTAGGCCAAATGTTATTTTGACAATCTTAATTGCATATTAACCCCCCAACTAGGAGGTTGACCAGTTGACTGGCTCTTTTATCAAGTTCCCCTTCCCTAATAGTAGTGTCAGGGTGGAGAGCTCAACCAGCTCATGGGCAATATGCGGTGTCCCTAGAAGACAATGATCACCAGGTCTCTATCTGCAGGGGACTGGCCAGAGCTGCGGCTGGTGGGCGGCTCAGGTCGGTGCTCAGGACGCGTGGAGGTCCTCCACCAGGGGGCCTGGGGCACCGTGTGTGATGACCTCTGGGACCTGAACGAAGCCGAGGTCGTGTGCCGACAGCTGGGGTGCGGACGGGCCATGTCTGCCCTGGGGAAGGCCCCCTTCGGCCCGGGCTCTGGAAACATCTTCCTGGACAACCTGCAGTGCTCCGGGGTGGAGCGCTGCCTGGGCCAGTGTGCCCACTCGGGCTGGTCGGAGCACAACTGTGGCCACCACGAGGATGCCGGCGTCATCTGCTCAGGTAGCCCCTCCTCTTTCAGATGGTCATTGCCAGTCCCACCATCTTCAAGACCACCCTGCTAGAATTCAGAGTTGGCCAGGGACAAAGACAGGGCCCTCAAACACGTGGCATTCAATTTTTGCTTTATCTCTTCTAACTTGGTCAAAAATACAAGATTTTAATTGCTAGCCTCCCAGAATAAAACCTTCTGATTTTCTAATTTGGTAGTAAGATTGACCAAAGGTAGGTGTGCTTTACTGAAAAGTGACATGTGCAAAGAACATATTTAACTATGGAAATGCTTAAGGAGTTTATCTAAAGGTCTTTCGATCAGAGGCAATGAGAAGATGTCAGAGCTGGACAGACTTGAGTCTGGATCCCAGAACCGGTGCTGACACTCAGACTGCATTTGGGCAACACTTAAACTCTTAGAGGCTCAGTTTCTCCATCTGTAAAACTGGGGACTGATGACTGTCTTGCAGGAGTGCTGAAAGGATTCGAGCTGTCTTTTGTAAAGCACTTTCGGACACCTGACAAAGGGACTGCATATTCGGTCATTTTTCCTTCCACCTCCCTCACTCAATACCCCAAGGAAATCAGTGGACTAAAATGGCTCATTTTAAAAGATCTTATTTATTTATTTGAGAGAGAGAGAGCACAAGCAGGGCGAGGGCCAGAGGGAGAAGCAGACTCCCCGCTGAGCAGGGAGCCTGATGTGGCGCTCCATCCTGAGACGCCGGGATCATGACCTGAGCAGAAGGCAGACACTTAAGGACTGGGCCACCCAGGTGCCCTAAAATGGCTCATTTTAATCACCTTATGACGTTACAATTTTTTCAGATACTTTGGATTTATCCATGTGCAAAAATTAGCGAGGAGTAAGGTAGTCACCTCACGAATGTCTGCTAATAACCCTTTCCAATAATGAGAAGCCTTTTGATAAACTAGTACCTGGTGTGACTTGAAAATTAGTACCTATAACTCAAAGGGGTATCTGTGACATGGAGTCACCCCCATGAGAAGCAGTACCTGCTCTTTAATCTGAGGTGAGACTTAAAAGCATGTCTGTTGGTGCCTTCATCTATCCATCTGTTTGCTTCGTGGCATCTTGTTACATGTGGCATGTCTGACCTAGTTGCAGCCTCACAGGCCACATGTTATTCCTGTTTCCGTGTTCTGGAGGATGATTATCTACATCTGAACTGCCCCCAAAGACTCCCCAAAGTGAAACTCATCTGCCACAAAATCAGTAGTTCACGTAGGACCCCACACATGCCCTTCATGGCTGATGGTTCCCTCACGGCAGGAGCCAGCCTGAAAGAAGTTCTCGTTTATGTCCATGGATGAATCTGGGTCTCCCAGCACTATGTTATGTAATGGGACTAATTCTTCCCAGATCAGATCAATAAACACTTGCAAAGATGTAGTTCAAACCTTTGCTTTCAATCGTTGAAGGAAGGATTTCTGAAACATAGTGACATATTTGTTCTTCCTATAAACAGATGCTGAAGAATCGCTCATTAATAGTCCAGGTAGGTCAGACTTTATCTTGATGGGACTCAAATATCAGCTCTCCCTGATTTTTCTGCAGGGTATTTATTTCCTTCCAGCTCTAAGTTCACTCTCTGTCTAAATTGCAGAAGTTTTCACACCATTGAGACACCAGTGTAATTATTACTCTTGATTTTTTTACATGTGGTGATGGCTCTGTGTTGTGTGTGTGCGTGTGTGTGTGTTTGTGTGTGTGTGTGTGTGTGTATGTATGTGAGTCCGTATTTTTTAGAGATACATGAAGAGGAAATGGCATTTCAGTGTCTTTGCATATGCTTTTCCCTCTGGCTCAAAGGCCTTTCCCCACCTCCTCCCTGGCCCACTCCTCACACTTTGAAGAGGATTCTTCCTAGGTGCCCCCTTTAGCCTGTTTATAACCCAGCACTTGTTCTTCCCCTTGACTGTTTTTATCACACCGTGAATAGCGCATTGTCCCACTGTCTTTTGATTAAAGGACTTTAGGCGCCCCAAGGGCAGGAACCACATCTCTTTGGCTTATAAGGTATTATCAATGCCTAACAGGAAAGGCAATCAATAAATTCCTTTGAAATGAGATTAAACTGGCTCAAGACCCCACAACCTGCAGCTTAGGAACACACCTCAGAAACGTGAGGAACAAGCCCCAGGGTTCATGACCCACCATGTCCCTCCACAAAGCCATAGTCCTGCTGTCCTCTGAGGCCTGGTGCTGGTGCACCCCAGGTGGGTCATTTGGGGACTCACACACTCACCCTATCTCTGTCTGCAGGGGACTGGCCAGAGCTGCGGCTGGTGGGCGGCTCAGGTCGGTGCTCAGGACGCGTGGAGGTCCTCCACCAGGGGGCCTGGGGCACCGTGTGTGATGACCTCTGGGACCTGAACGAAGCCGAGGTCGTGTGCCGACAGCTGGGGTGTGGACGGGCCGTGTCCGCCCTGGGGAAGGCCCACTTCGGCCCGGGCTCTGGAAACATCTTCCTGGACAACCTGCAGTGCTCTGGGATGGAACACTACCTGGGCCAGTGTGCCCACTCGGGCTGGTCGGAGCACAACTGTGGCCACCACGAGGATGCCGGCGTCATCTGCTCAGGTAGCCCCTCCCCTCTTGGGCAATAATTTCTAATGTTTTTATTGCAGACATTTTGAAACTATGCATCCCAGATGGAAATTATCCATCTGCCTATTTGCTCATTCTTTCATAAAACAATCCTTGAGCGTCTGCTCTGCACCAAGCCCTGGGCTCACACACACCCTTGGGCAGCGCCAGGTTGCACATGGGAGGTCTCGAATGTTTGCGTACACCAGCACCACCTGAGGCATTGCAATGCAGAATCCCGGGCCCCGGCCCCGGCCCCAGAGATGACGACTAACTAATTTGGGCAGGGGTGCTGGAATCTGCCTTTTCACAAGTGGTCTGGGTGATTCAGCATAAGAGGGGCCATGGGTAATGAGTCTTGTGCCCTGAAAGGCAAGGGTCCTCTCCCTTCATTCCCCATCTGCACCCTCTCTCCCCCCCCCCCCCATCTGCCACCTGCACCTTCGTTACCCCACCCCTTCCATGCTTTGGATTCACTAAAGAGAGTGACCTGTTGCCTTTCTTTTTGCATTCAGATGCGGAAGAACTGCCTCCTCCCACACCTCCAGGTATGTCCATATTTTTTTCTAGTCCAGACAACTTTCCAGTAATAATAATATCAAATTTACTTGCAAATGCTAAGAAACAGGCACTGTTCTGAGCCCCTCACATATATAACTCATTTAATCCCCACAATAATGCACTGAAGCAAGTACTTTTCCAGATAGGTAAACTGAGGCAAAGAAAGTTAGTAATGTACCCAGGGCTAGCCAGTGGATTTGAATCCTTGGCCACCAGTCTATTGACCACATCCTTTCACTGACCTCAGCTCCACAAAGACAAGGTAAAATTAGCACAAAGACGGGGAGACATTTTGCTCAGACTATTGCTAATCCTGCAAAAAGGCATTTTATATTTTACAGAAGAGAAATCTGAGGCACAGAAAGGTTGAGTAACTTTCCTGAGATCACTCAGTAAGTTAATGGTGGAACCAAGTACTGACACTGATCAGTCTGCCCACAGAGTACATGCTCTTGGGGATCTTATGACTTTTGCCTATTTTTGGAGATTTTGTACCTGAAGGATTGAGTGATATTCATCTGTAATAAAAACCAAAGATTAGAAAAACCAGAACAACACATGCAATGTGAATTCTGAAATGATACTGGAGGTAAACAAAAAGGCATTTTGTTTCATTACAATAGACATTTCTGAGCATCTGCACAGGAGCAGGCATGATGCTGGGGTTTCTGTATGAATAAATTTATCTCATCCTCAGAGCTGAGGATTAAGGAGATCCAAAAGCCTGCCCAAGATAACTCAATTAGAAAGTAGCAAAACTAGGGGTACCTGGGTGGTTCAGTCAGTTAAGCATCCAACTCTTGATTTCGGCTCAGGTCATGATCTGAAGGTCATGGAATTGAGCCCCATGTCAGGCTCTGCGCTCAGGGGGAGTCTGCTGGAGATTCTCCCTCCCTCTCCTTCTGCCCTCCCCTGACTCGTGCATGCTCTCCCTCTCTCTCTCAAGTAAATGAATAAATAAATCTTCAGAAAAGTGAGAGAGAGAGAAGAAAGAAAGTAGCGGAACTGGACTTTGCAGACCCCATCTCTTGCCCTTTGAATGAACCTGACTGCCTCCACATACACAAGTCAAAAGTCATTGGCAGAAGCATCTCTCTTGGACACTTGCATAGAGAAGTGGGGTCATGAGTGGGAGGGAGGACTGTCCAAATTTCAAAGGCCATGGATAGAGGTCAAGGGCAGTGGATATTCAAATGAAGGCCTACCTGTAGTTCTCATTTTATATAACTCAGCTATGCTGAAGATTATATAGATGACAGGGAAATGAGGAAGACCATGTTGAGTGGAAGGAACCATCCTGGTTATGTGTTGCTACTCCAAAAACAGAGTGGTTTAACACCACAGCCATTTAATGACATGTTATGTTGTTGTGGGTCAGGAATTTGGGCAGGGCTGCGATAGGAGATTCTTCTGTTCCACGTAGCTCTGAGCAGGGTCACTCGGTGGAGCTCGCCTACAGGGTGGTCCTGAGACTTGAAGACAGCTGCATTCACATGCTCTGTGCGTGGAGGAGACTGCTGGAAGGGTGGGCTCAGCCAGGGCCCTCTTCCTCTCCAGGTGGTCTCGGGACTCCTCACACGGTCTCTCCAGCAGCAGGCTAATCAGACTCCTTACAAGGTGGCTCAGGGTGCCACAGGGAAGCCCGTGTTCCCAGAGACAAGAAGTGGAAGCTTCCGGTCTCTTAAAGCACAGTGTCACTTCCACCATATTCTGTTGGCCAAAACAGAGGCCACCCAGGTTCAAGCAAGGAGACCTAGATCCCACTTCGTGACAGGAGGCATGTCCAAGAATGTGTGGCCTTCTTTAATCTGCCACAGGACAGTAGAAATATTCACTCAGCACCTTCAGACCTTTCTCAGTTGGCACTAAGTACCTTGACACTTCAGAGAAAACTCTTCACATTTCACTAATTTGTAGATAAAACGCAGTATTTTTCCCCTGGTTGTCAACATGACCTCCCTTTTTTTTTTCCCCCTTCTAGGTCTTTCCACAGCTTCTCGGGATTATATAACAGGTAGTCACTTGTTTTAAATTGAGATGTAACTCCACACCGAGAGAACTGTCACAGCAGATGCTAGGCAGTGTGCCCAGGATGTGGCACAGAGAGGCTGGCACAACATGGGTGAGGGGCTGCTTATCCACCTCCCAGGCCAGTCCTGTCATGGCCCCTTCCATGAGAATGCCAGGGGAGTCAGGACCTCAGCCGACACAGCCCCTCAGTTGCTACTGTAGCCTCACCAAGGGGCATCCATTTGCACTGCTAAAGCCTGTAAATACTGACTTGCTAGCCAAAGGGGCAGGCTGGGAAGGGGGTATGTGGATCTGCCCAGGTCAGAGTAGGTGGGAGGGTGACAGAGACTGTAGCTGGTCATAACTGGTGGTACCCAGCCTACCTTCTCTGGGTACGGTCCTGTAGGGGGCACCCATGATGGGTCCCAACTCATGTGTAGAGGTTTCAAGAAACCCAGTCCCAAGGTTTTCGTGTCTGTCTGACCTGGACCAGTTGTAACTACAACACAACTGACAGGATAGCTCCAAGATGACTGGGCGAGTCCCTATTTCCCGCCATCTGTCGCAGGAAAGACCAAGACTCTTGGAATTCTGGGAGCATTACCAGTTAGTTAGCCAAAAACAGGAAGGAGAAAATTAAGCAGCTTGGTAATTTAGGGGACAAGGTCAACAACTCATGTTTTCAAGTTTCCTCTAAAATAATTTGATGATTCTAAGATTTTTGTTTTTTTATGTGGCATGCTGCTTTAAGTGTATGGGCACGTGTATACATATGCGTGTGTATCGATCTATATGAATATGACGTAAAATACAATACGGAAGAAATTAGATTTCACTTGTGTAACTCTTATAAATCCAAAGACATGTAAGTTCCAGTTTCAGTAGATACTGAGTTAAAGGAAACACAATCTACCCAGAAAAGGTGGTGAAAAAGAACTTAAGGGGGTGGCCAGTCATAGTCCCCTTCAACGGGCCACATCGTCCCCTTCTCTCTGGCTCCTCAAACCCCAGAGTTGTTCCCAAACTCACACCATGCCCAGGCTCAATAGTCTCTGTCCCTTCGTCCCTCCTTCCCAACCCCCCATGTAGATCCTCTCTGCCTCTCTCCCCACAAGCAAGAATCCTTCTGCCTTAGAAGAAGGAGGAGATAGTGAACAGACCTGACAAATATAATATTTTCTTTGGCAGAGGGTAAGGGGAGAGGAAAAGGCAGAGAACTCCCATATTTTAATATTTTTGCCCCATCAGGATGAGATTGAATGGGCCCTCCTTCCCTGGAGACGTTTAGGCTAAAAGTCTGTACAGACATCTGGGTGTGCCCCCCGCCCCTCCCACCCCCGGTGGACCACTGCCAGACTCCACCAGACCACCAGGTGTGAGAGGGTCGTGACTGGGGTCCCATAGTTGGTGCCTCGGGGCACATGCTGACATCCTTTTTCCTCTGGCTTTAGGGAGAAGTAGCTCCTGCGGAGGGGTCTTGTCAAGTCTCTCTGGCTCCTTTTCCAGTCCGCTGTACCCGGAAAGCTACCCGACAGACATCGAGTGTGTTTGGGAGATTCATGTGGATAAAAAATTCCGCATAGAACTCATGATTCCAACTTTGAAGTAAGAAAACGACTTTTTCAGAGAAGATTCTTTCTAAATGTGAATTCAGAATAAATATATTTCTTTTAGTGGGAAACATTTGGGGGGGGAACAGAAGAACACAAATTTCTTCCCAGTTTGAAGATCAAATTAATTTTGTAGCGCTATCCAACAAGTTACTTCTAGTTTGAAAAATTGAATAAGTGGTTTATTGACATATTTAACTCAACCTTATGATGATAGCTTTTCTTTTTACTTTTTTCTAAGAATGTCACCCAAATCCTCCTTACCAGCTTGGCCCTTGTTATACAATGGGTACCAATACTTATCCTCTTAGATTTTCTTTTTCCTTTATTTAAATTTTAAACAAGCAGTAGAAGGCTTTCCACACACACCCACGAGCCACCTCCTCCAGCCCCAGGCCCTGGATTTTCTCAATGCTGCCTCCAAGTGAAAGGACCCGGGGGAGACATGGCCTTATCTCTGACACATAGAGGATACATTTCTCGAAGACACTGACATTTTTTTTATCTCCGTGGCATGAAATAAGAACTGACATTTTTAAACGCTGGCTGTGTATCCATGCTCTGTACTATGTGTTTTGTATGCTCTGTAATATTCCAGCATCACTACAGCCCGAAGGTATATGCCCCGTCATCTCCATTAGAGATGAGAACCTGAAGCTCAGAGATGTTAACTGACCTGCCCAAGGCTAACCAGCTAGGTCTGTCTGCTGTCAAAGCTCCAGCTTTTCTCCACCTTGTGATTCTGTGGGCGGAGTCTGCGCAGAGCCCTTCTTGTATATGACACTCATCTTGCTACAAACACAGCAACACTATGAGATGCTGTGAAAATCCACCTTCAGCATACACTGAATTGTTGATCAGTCCATGGAGTCAAGCACACCCTGTGCCAGAGAATATCCTAGAAACATATTGTCTTTGTTGACTAAAACCCTAAGGACACAGAGAGCCCACAAGGAAGTGAGAACCTTGAACGTACACTTCCAAAGTCCTTCTTATTATAGGTAATCTGTTCCTTCAAAATCAGCCTCACACACATCCCTCACGAGTGACTGCCAAAGTGCAGATACTCTCTACATGCTGACATTTTAATTTTAAAACCGAGCTTTTTCTCCCCAAGAGTTTGAGTGTGGAAAATGTTGTGAAATATAGAGATAGGAGAATCTGAGTGTGATGTTGATTACATGATGATCATCAGGGTGTTGGCCTGGTAAGGATTTATTTGCAATGTGTACTAGCATTTCTAATGTTCCATGTAGATGGTGATTGGCCAGAGCCATTATAATTTTTGATTTTCTCTTCCTAAGTTGTAACCATAAGCCTCCCACAACCCTTGGACAGAATAAGACTTCTGTAATAAGACATCTGTAGAAGTTAACTGACACTTTATGTGTCAATATGCAGTTTAAAGTAAATCCAAATATTTAATCCTACGATTGTCATACTTTTTTAAGTTTTAAGATCTAGGAAGCTTGAACCTGCCACTAACCCTCCACTTCGATGCCCCCAGCCTGGAGGATATCCTTGGATGCCCCTACGACTCCGTTGAAATCTTTGATGGCCCCAGGATTGCCTCGCTGTCCATGGGGAAGTTCTGTGCCTCAGTAGCTGTGATATTTTCCTCCTCCTCGGATATCATGACCGTGGTGTTCCGAAGTGATTCTATGATCACCAACACTGGCTTTTATGCCCTGTTCAATGCAATTCCACAGGGCAAAGGAGAGTCAGGTAGGAAGCTTCAGGTCTTTAAAAGACAGAACAGTTTTCTATCTTGAGAGACTCCCCTATTCACAAAGGCCTGGGACTCAGTTTTTAAAACACCCCACAATTGGCCCCATAAGCCCTGCTGTGTTGCTGTTAGATTTTCCCACTAAGAGCATCACGTGGGCAATTGAAATCAGGCAATGATGTGAGGCTGAAATGACAAGATGATTTGGGGGTAGCGGTAGTGCCTGGGAAGACAGCCTAGGGGACAGAAGAACATGCCCAGGTGGGGAGGGTGCTCCTACGGCTTGAGTGGGAATAGAAGACCTTGCTCGGGGACATGTGATGGGTGACAATGAAGGGGCATTCCAGGCAGAGAGAACAGCAAATACAAAGGCTCTCGGGGACATGCTAGAGAAACAGAAACCAAGGTGAGTGTGGCAGAACTTGTGAACTCAGTAAGGGAAGGTCTCCAGGAGACAGCATGCCATTCCAGGTGGCCACCGCCCATTGGCCCAGAAATAGCCATCCCCATTGGGCTTTAAGAAGTCATAGACACGCTGGTGTCCCAAGTCCTTCAGGGGATTAAATCTACACTTACCCAAGTCATGTTCAAAAACAGAGCTGTGGACCCCTTCCCCCAGGACCCCAGTGTTGTGTCAGAGACCCACACAGCAAGACCTGTTACTGAATCAAGACGGCTTTAGACTTTGTTCTTGCCTTTGTTTACCTTAGACACAAATGCGGGAGCTTGAAATCCTTCCTACTTAAAACTTCCTAAGCTCAAAACTAAAACCCTGCTCTATTTAGAAGATGGACCCCAGCTGCGGCTGGTGGGCGGCTCAGGTCGGTGCTCAGGACGCGTGGAGGTCCTCCACCAGGGGGCCTGGGGCACCGTGTGTGATGACCGCTGGGACCTGAATGAAGCCCAGGTGGTGTGCCAACAGCTGGGGTGTGGTCGAGCCATTGCGGCCCCTGGAAAGGCTCACTTCGGCCCTGACTCTGGAAACATCCTCCTGGATAACATTCAGTGTTCAGGAAGCGAGAACCACCTTGGCCAGTGCCCTAGCTCCAGCTGGTCGGACCACAATTGTGGCCACCATGAGGACGCAAGTGTCATCTGCTCAGGTAGCCTCTCCTCCCATGGCAGGTTCTTTTTGACCTTTCGACCAGCAGAATTTGAGTGATGGATGGAGGGCGTGCACAGAGCAGGGCCAGGGGAGCTGAGAACAGTGGCCCCACAAGAACGTCCCCTCAGCCAGGTTGACAAAGAATGCTGGGAGCCTGACTCCACTCTAAAGAAATGTACGCAGAGCCATGCGATTGCCAGGTCCTTCTCTCTGCAACCTTTCCTGGGTCCAAGCTCCTTTTCCAGAATCTAACATGCTCTTGTTCTTGTTTATGTCACATGAACCTTGCCTGCTTGAGACCTGCTCACACTAGGAAACCACCACTTGTCTTCATAAAATGTAACTTAGATTTCCTAAATTTACCTTTTTTTTTTTAATTCATGCAGATGCCGGGGCCTGGGCTCCAGATGTGACCCCTACATCCCCAGGTAGGCCCAATACTGTGAACTTCTAATATCTCTGCAAAGTGAATAAGAAATCTAATCTGTCTTAACCTAGACACTGGTGGACAGTGACCTAGGCCCTGATCTCCCAAGGGAGCTTTGAAATTCCCAATCCCCAGGCTGCACCCAGACCAGTCACATCAGGATCTCTGGGCTCACACCAACCGGTCATCAGTAATATTTAAAGCCTCCCATGTGATTCCAACATGCAGCAAGGTGAGAACCAGCCACGTTTCCCGAATGAGATGGCATCCAAAACTCCCCTCTGGACAGCAGAGCAAGGAAGGGCAAGAGGGAAAACGGGCAAGAAGTTCTGTCACTAGGGCTGAGAAGAGGGTCAAGATGGGGAGGAGAGGAGGTAGGAAGGTTTGCTTCCCAGGAACATGAGTTGGAAAATGAAAGTGTGGGAGAAAACACAGATGAGTCCATGCCACACTCTCCCAGTGGGTCAAGAACAGGCTGAGCGTGAGAAGTGAAGCCATTTGGAGCTACTCTGGGAGCCTTCGGACTTTGCCAACAACGCAGGCATAGAGAAAGGGTACATGTTGTTCTGGTAACCAACTCAGAGTCAGTGTGTGGCAGTGACCTCCAAACTCAAGACTCCAGCGATATCTGAGCACGTGTGGTCCTGCCTCCTGCAGCGGCCTACCTCTTCTGGACAGGCTCTCAGCTGCCCGCTTCCCTGCCTGCTGGCACCCTGGGCCCCACCCGGCCTCCTTCCCAACCCCGCGCAGTGATTACCTCCACCCTCTGCCTTCACTGGGGGCCTGGGTGTGGGGAAGGTCAAGGTTGAGGTGTACCCTGTAGTGTTTGGGGGCTGGGCAAGGTAGCTAGCAGCCTCTCCCTACCTGGGGCTGACACCACCTTGGCACATTTGGAGGGACACTTGGTGGGGGGGGCCTCTTACCCACTCTAGTCCAGATCCCAAGGGCTCCCAGGTTGCGGTCGCCATCCCCGGGCAGCTGCCCATCTCATGTAGAATGCAGAAGTGAACCTATGGGGAAGGGCGATTGACTTCCCCACCTCCAGCTGAGGCCCCACATTTTCATTTTGCATTGGGACCCACAAAACATGCAGCAGCCACGGAGGGGAGGCGGAGCTCACAGAACCATTTCTCGGGGACTGACAAGCAGCTAGCTCCCTTTGGTGCCCTCTGGCTTTTCTTTTCTTCCCCAGTGAGGAATCTCCCCTAGCCTAGAGCCGAAGAGGAGGAGCAAGAAGGGAGGGCATGACTTTCAGTTCATCAGACAGCTCTGTGCCAAGTCCCCCTTGTGATCTAGGGTTGCAAACCTCAGAAGGCTTTTCTCTCTTTTCTCTCTGCTACAATATTCCTTTTCTGAGGCACAGATGCATAACTGAGTGGATAAGAGAATGCAAGATGGAATAAAAAACACTAGGGGGAAAAAAATGAAACCTTTTATGTCTAAATACTATCCACCAGTAGGTGAACTACTTCTCGATAAAGCATTATATATTTGCAGGGACACACACACAAAATAAGGCTTTTGCCATTTATTTCTCTCAGGGAAACACTGCATCTCAAACACTTTAACAAAAGGGAACTGCTTCTTTTTTTAAAAAGATTTATTTATTTATTTGAGAGGGAGAAAGGGAGAGAGATTATCAGCAGGTAGAGGGGCAGAGGGAGAGGGAGAGAGAATCATAAGCTGACCCCTCACTGAACATGGAGCCAGACGTGGGGCTCGATCTCACCACCCCGAGATCGCAACCCTGAGATCCCTACCTGAGCCAAAACCAAGGGTCAGCTGCTTAACCGAATGCACCACCCAGTGCCTCGAAAGGGAATTGCTTCTGAGACAACTTGAGGTCCGAAAAAACTTACTCTGCCCCTGTCCAGCACCCTTCCTGGCGAGGGACTGAGTGGGGCAGGCGCCACAGGCTCTCACTGCTCAGCGGTTTGTGGCAATGCCGCCCAAGGAGAAGGACCATGGAGACAAAGGATTTCTCGAATGCATCTGACCCATTTGCTTCAAACTCCGTGCCCACGAATCCCTGGTGTGAAACTCTGACAAGCACCAGCTTTCCAATGGACAGGCTTTCAAAACCTGCCCTGCCCTTGACCTGCCAGGCAATAGTGCCTAAGGATACATCTAGAATATGGAAATATATGCCTCACAGAAATCGAAGCCAAAAGGACACAGAAAAGGAGGAAGCTCCCCACTGGGGCCCGTCGACCTCAATGGAATGTTTGTCCCACATGCCTTTCCCACCCACCTTTCCCACCCAGGCTCTCAGCTGTCTGGTTTTTGTCCCTTGTCCCTATGCCTTTTTGCATGTTCTGCAGTGGTGTGCGCCCATAAGCGCAGTGATGTTACTGTGGCTGATGCCTCGTGACTGATCGATCTCAGGACAGCCCTGGGGTTGGTGGATCCTAAGGCAGAAGAGAAAACAAGTCACGTAGCTGTGCGTTGTCTGTGATTTCTTGGTGAATCACTGAAAGAAGGGGAGAGACCACATCCCACATTAGGAGAGAAAAGAGAAATGAGGGAGCCCACACCACGTATCAAGACTCAAGGGTAGTAACAGGTTCATTCATTTGTATGTAACTATACGATGTTTTTGTGATGCGGAGCTCTTTCCTGATTTTCTTTGGTTTCGGTTTTTGCAGGTCCCATCCCTCAAGGGCCTACGCCTCAAGGTGGGCCTACGCCACGAGGTAACTCTCTTTCATTGAAAGTACAACCTGTAAAAGATGGAATCACTCGGTCAATTCATAAAAGCAGAATAGATGTCTGCCTGTCCTGGCTGCCTAAGGGGAAGGAATTGGTGGGCTGGAGCCCTCACAGATGGACGGATCGTCTACATCTGAATTGAGCTGGTCTGCGTGACAGGAAGCTGGGCAGAGCATTGATGAGATTTCAGCTAGACACCCCACACCTGTCACATATGTGTCCCATCCCATTTCCAGTCTTGCCTACAGTCTTAGGGTCCCATCCTGGTAGCAGTCACACATCTTTTCCTCCCCCTCATTCCCTCTCAGGGGTACAATCACACACCAGCCAAGGTACAATGATGCCTATACCACCATGATCCCTTCCCATTTTGTGATTCCCTGTTGAGCTTGATGGAATTCTGGATTCTACTCCTGGGAAAGACAAGGTACATGCCTGAAGAAGCCAACCAGTGGTCTCTTGTCTGCCCACAGGAAGGAGTAACTCTTGTGGGGGAGTGATTTCAGGCCTCTCGGGCTCCTTCTCCAGTCCTTCGTATCCAACGAACTACCCCACTGACGTGGAGTGTATCTGGGTGCTACATGTGGCTGAGACGTTCCACATAGAACTGGTGATCCCAAGCCTAAAGTAAGCAGCTTTGCCTTTTTCTACTTCAAAGGCCAGATTAGACTGGAATCCATGCTTTCCTCAAGGAGGTGGCCTTTCCACGTACCTAGTCAACTTGGCAGCTATAACAAAAATATCACAAACTGGGTAGCTTCATAAACAACAGAAATTTATTTCTCACAGTCCTGGGGGCTAGAAAGTCCAAGATCAAGATTCGGGGTCTGGTGAGGGCTCACCAGACTTCCTGGCTCACAGGTGGTCATATTTTCACAATAGTCTTACCTGATAGAAGAGACAAGGGAGCTTTTTGGCTGAATCGCAGTCAATCGAATTGACTCTGTAAGGCCGTTAATCCTGTGGTGAAGGTTCTGCCCTCATAGCCTAATCTCTTCCCAAAAGCCCCACCTTCTCATACCATCTTGTTGGGGGTTAGGTTTCAACATATGAATTTTGAGAAGACACAAACTTTCAGCCTTCAGCACCGAGTGACACATCCTTTCGCATTGTAGGTGAAAATTCGTCGGGTCACCTGAGCTTGGGAGATGTAGAATCATTAAGCTCAACTTCCTGTGCAGTTGGAGAATACCCCAGATACCCGATGAGCATCCCTGACACCAGGCCACCGAGGGGGCCTCAGCTAGGGTCACACACAAGAAAACCTCAGCCCCCTACTCTCAGCCAGCTACTTCGGGGACATTGCATCTTCCTTGGGCTGAACCCAAACGGGTTCCTCTTCATTCCCATTTTCTCAGCTTCATTCTTCCCTCTGATGCTGCACAAAATAAGTCTGCTTCCTCTTCCCTCCAAGAATGTCTCTCATGCCCCTACAAGAGTTTTCTTCCACAGATAAAACAGCCTCCATTCATTCATTCCTACTTCTTTCTCTGCCCATACTCATCTTTAAAGGAATTTATCCTATTTTAATGCATATTTATATGCATACATATTTACATATGCATGTACATATACCAGCGTCACTTTTTAATGAAAATAATTGCTTTTCCTGATAATGTTTAACCTGGTTTCATCTTTCTACACCGGGTCCCATCTGGGTCATTCTCTCTTCCTGACATTGTTCACAGTCTATGCCAGACCTCCACCGCTGTTTCCACCTGCGTTCATCAGCCTCAGGAGTCAAGGAGCTGAATGGTTAAATGCTGCCTCAAAGGGGAAATGGGCCAGCAGTGGAGTGAGGGATGGATCTGATTAATTTTACCTGATGGCCAAAATTCCTTTCAAATGGGGAGAAGAGAAACTACTATCAGGCAGCACTGTATGTTGTGAGCAAAATGTATTTTTCATTCATTCATTCATT